AAAAAAAAAAAAGGTTAAACATGGAGTTACCACCTGACCCAGCAATTCCACTCCTAGGTATACACCCCCCAAAATTGAAAGCAGGCGCTCGAAGACTTGGACGCAAATGTTCATAGCAGCATTATTCATGGAGCCAAAAAGGCGGAAACAGCCCAAATGTCCATCAGTGGATGAATGGATAAACACGCTGCCGTCTGTCCACACGATGGAATGTTACTCAGCCATAAAGTGGACAGAAGTACTGACACAGGCTACAACGTGGATGAACCTTGAAAGCATTATGCTAAGTGAAGGAAGACAGACACAAAAGGCCACATACTGTATGATCCATTTATATGAAATATCCAGAACAGGTAACTCAATGGAGACAGGAAGCAGACTGGTGGCGGCCGGGGCTGGGAGGAGGGGAGGATGGGGAGTGACTGCTTATGGGCACAAGGTCTCCTTTAGGGGTGAAGAAAACATTTTGGAACTAGAGAGAGGTGATGGTTGCACAACACTGTGAAGGTGCTACATGTCACCAGACTGGACACTTGAAAATGGTAAATGTAAAATGTGAATTTCATTTGATAAATAAATTAAACTAGAACACAACAGCAGTACCCACTCAACGAAGGATGGATACAACCGTAGGCTCCTAAATGGGACACCGCAAACCACACCAAACCATGGGCAACTTCTGGAAAACATCTCGGGGGAAAACTTTGACACCACGGCCTTGGAGATCCCCCCACTGGAGGACGAGAGGTTTCCCTAACGGGTGATTCTGCCTCTCCATGGCTACATACCCCTCCCCCACTTCTCCTTGCTCCCCTGCTCAGGCAGACACACAATCGAAGACTGGGGAAGAGCTGGAACTTGGAAACTGGCTTAGGATGCGAGATCCCTGGTGCCCAGTGGGATGGGAGCTGGCATCCCATGCCCACCCGTTTGAGTCGCCTCCCACCTTATCGGTCACTGAGGAGAGGGTTTTCTGGGCCCTCTCCTGGGGGCAGCAGGACACGTACCTCAGAGAGGTCAGAGTGCGGTTAATCTTCAGAGCGTCTGCCAGCGCCTTGGCCCCTTGTGGTCCAATGGAGTTACTGCGGAGGCTGGCGGAAGGAAGAGAGAGAAAGAAGTGTTCTCTTTCATCTGACTCCCGGGAAGGGAAGGGGAGCAGAAATGACACCGACCTTCACATCTATGATCTTTGGAGGGAATGTGTCAGGATTTAAGGTTTCATGTTTAGTGGAACCAAGGCAGAGATCCTTATATAGCGAACAAGGAAGGAGTTTCCAAGACAGCCCCGTGATGGGAAAGAAGCAGGACCCGATGGGCTGGTGGGCTTGGGCAGGTGTGGAGATGAGGATAAGCTAACCCCAGATTCAGGGCCCCAAATCTGGTGCTTCACAGGGTGGGGCTCAGCTGTGCTTCTGACCTACCCAGGGGAGCCTGTGGGCTGGGGGGTGGCCTCCCTGTGTCCTCCTCCTACAGGAGCCCAAAAACCTTGGAACCAGCTCCAGATGAAACCAGGGTATCATGACCAGGCGCTACCCAGGGGCTGAGTCCGGAGAATCAGGGAAGGGTGGATAAGACCCAGCCATGGCAGAGGAGGGGAAGGGACTTCCCAGGATGGCTCACAGCTCTCCTGGTCCCAATGGCGAAGTTTGGCTTTTGGTGTCCTACTTACTCCAGAGAGGTCAGACTTCTGTTGACCAGGAGGGATCTCGCCAGAGCTTTGGCCCCTTTGTTACTGATCTGGTTCTCAGCCAAGCTGCCCAAGGTAAGGGAGAGGAGAGGTCATTTCAGACATATAAATCTCATCACCTCTTCCTCAACTCTACGCCCGTGATCAAACAGGCCTGACACAGGTGGAGATGAGGTCACTTTGGGAGCAGGATGCCAGACAAAGGAAAGCCCCTGGGCAGGGTAGGGCCAGAGTGGGCAACAGACCCTCACCCTGGCAAAGGGTCCCAGGAAAAATTTTGGCCAGAATCAGGCACAGCAGCTTCTACACCAATAACACAGTAGAGAGCATGGACGATTACAGAAGTCGGGAATGGCAGCCAGCGTGTGCTGGTAAACTGACTCTCAGGAAAAAACAAAGGACAAAACAACTGATTGTAGCATTTGCCTATTTCCATGGTGTAAATACTCCCCCTATGGCCAATTTCAAGCATCCCTAGCTTGCAGACTTCCTAAAAATGTAACAATCAGCTCTCATGACCTGGTACAAACTAGTTCCGGCACACCCCTCATCGCAGCCTCTACTCTGGCGCAAAATGGCAAGTGGTAGAGTCATTACAAACTAACTTGAAAAAACAACAAAACTGTACATCTGTTTCTGCCTTGAATGGGTGATGCCAGGAATTTGCTGGTGGATCAACTTAATGTTGCTTGATGTCTCAGAAATGGTAGCTGTTGAGGTTCTTGACAGTTTTGTAGGCATTTAGCCCGTGGGATATAGTTATTCAATTTATTCAATTACAATTCTCAAACTATGTTCCAAGGGCCCCTAGGGACTCTCAGAAAAGGTCCAAGGGCCAACAGGAGGATGAAGGGAACAAACTGGCTGGGCTTTGTCCTCTGGAAAGGCTGTGTCTCCCTGGTTTGCAAACTGTTTACTGAAATAAAGTCTCTTTTCTCCAAATTCCTGTTCAGAGAATTTTTGTTCACGCCATTCATCCAGGCCATTTTCTATATAAATGTTCTCAAATTCTAAAGAGGCTTTGTTCTCTCCAGTACTTTGTAATATTTTATAAATATTATTTAATGAGCAGCCACGCGTGTTTTCTCAAGGGTGCCTTGGACATTTCAAACAGGGTTGTGGCATTGAGAACTGACCAGAGAGAGGTGACAAAGAGCCTGGGGCCACAGGGGAAATTTTTGGCTTCATTTGAAATAGTTTCTGAGCACTACCTAGCTTCCTTTAAGCAAAACTAAAAGTTGACTATTTTGTCATGTGCTGAAAATGCTGGAGGCTCCCATGAAGAAAAAAAATATTAGTAATGACTTGTCATTATCATTTTTCTTTGAAAGGAGTTACATTTGTATCTTCTGCTAACAAGGTGAAAGTAATCCTGTTATTATAATGACTGGCCCCTACCCCATGCTTCCTCGTGCCTGGCCTTCACAACCACCCTAAGAGGTAACTGCACTGAAAGATTAACCTTGCACAAAGAACGGTTTGGACCTCGTCCCTGGCTCCTAAGTGGGAACCTCTAAGCCCTTAGAATGTCCTGGCTGATAAGAATGTCTTTGTTCACCTGGGGGCCTTGGGCCATGCTGCACAGTTTATCTCACAGTGTGATTTATGGTAGGGGTCTGGGGCCAAACAGTATCAGCTTTTCCCTCTGGAGGGGCTGTCAGCTAAAGTCAGCCATGCAAGTGGTCAGATATGTCTTTCTGACCAAACCCCCACTAAAAAATCCTGGACACCAAGGCTTGGATGAACTTCCCTGGTTGGCCGTATGTCCTGTGTGTTGTCACACGTTGTTGCTGGGAGGAGTAAGCGCTGCTGTCCGTTGAACTCTGCTGAGAGAGGACAACCGGAAGCTCACTCACGCCTGGTCTCTCCTGGTCCCAGCTCCTTGTGCCTTTTTCTTTTCCTGATTTTAATTTTTGTCTTTTCAGTGTGATGAATCATAACCATGACTATAATGGCGTTTCCGAATTCTGAGATCTTCTCAGAAGGTCTAGCAAATTGTCAAAGCTGAGGGTGATCATAGGGACCCCCAAACTCACAGATATCCTTGCAACCCCATTTTTACCCCAGGTGATTTGCTCAAGGTCACACAGGGCCCATAACTCTGACCACTATCCTCAATGACCGACTCTTGTTCCCGACTCAGTCTAAGTTGTTAACTGAGATAACGATGATTTCAGAGCCTGGAGGCTGTGTGAGGATGAAAACTTACTCCCTGGGTCTGTTGTCCAGATTCGCCTCCCTTGGCCCCCAGCAGCCACCCTCAGAACATCACGTCGATTCAGCTACAAACCAGCGCGTTACTCAGATCCAGAGATGTTACTCCAGGAGAGATTGCGTAAGGTCATTGTACAAACTTTTGTCTAATTACAATATTAAGGATGTTGTTTTTAAGTGACAAATTATTTAATTTAGAATTAAATGTTAATT